CAAAGTTTCAAAAACAGCAACTCAGAGATATTTTAGAACTTCTGGCCCTACTTCAAATACAACAGGACTGGGGTAATCAGGAAAAAGGGAAAACCTATGCACCTGGATCCACCACAGGGATGGGTTCCTACTGGTTCAGACCGGTTCTGCTGAGTTGGTAGTAACTAGGCCAGACATGCGCCCGAACCTGTTCTAATGGCAGCACCTATACCGGCGCCATCTTGTTTTTTGCTTATGTACATGCACAGAAGCAATTTTTAACTTCTGCACAAGTGTGCATAGCGCACATGCACCCAAAATGCACCACTGAGCGAAGAAGCCGGAACCCCCAGTACTATAAGATGAAATAGCATGAAAATCCCCTAAACTTCGCTGAAAATGTTACCTAGCCTGGTAATGAAACTAACCTACAAGCTCAGAGAACGAACTTTCATCATCATAGTATGAAAATATCCTTTTCAGCATCTGAGGCTCCCAAAAGAAAACGTGCGAGAGATTTTCCCCTTGCAGCTTTTCAAAGGCTGTAGAAACGGAAGGATTAGCTCACCTTGTTTTGTGTTGACGTCTGAGGGGAGGTGTGAAGGATGTGTCCCTGGAGAAAAGTGTTCATCGCTGTAGGTGATGAGTGGAGTGAGAGGGTGGACTGCATGGGAAGGTTGCACCACAGGGACTTTGTTAGACTGCAAACAAAAACAAAAGGCTTGAGTAGCATTTCTTTCTTTTGCTTCTTTTTTCTTAAACCAATAGGCCCGATAAAAATAGTGCATATTTAATTGCCTCATTTTTTATCCATACAATAAGATACACTGGGGACAATTTAACTCTCTTTCACAAATATTAGTACAGGAAGTCTTCAACTTACGACCCCAACTGGGCCCAACATTTATGTTGCTAAGTGATAAATTTTTAAAATGAGTTTTGTCCAATTTTACAATTTTTTTTGCCACTGTTGTTAAGTGAATCACTGTTTAATCCAGTGTTTCTCAACCTTGGCGACTTTAAGTCCTATGGACTTCAACTCCCAGAATCCCCCAGCCAGCACAGCTGACTGGGGAATTCTGGGAGTTGAAGTCCACAGGACTTAAAGTCGCCAAGGTTGAGAAACACTGGTTTAATCATTGTTAAATGAGTAATACGGTTGTTAAATGAATCTGTTTCCCCCATTGACTTTGCTTGTCAGAAGGTCACAAAAAGTGATCACATGACCCGGGGACACTGCAATTGTCAGAAATGTGAGTTAGCCGTCAAATATCTGAATGTAAATCACATGACCATAGGATGCTGTAATGGTCATAACTGTGAAAAATGGTCGCAATGCACTTTTTTCAGTGCCGTTGTAACTTCAAATGGTCACTAAGTGAACTGTTATATATTGAGGACTACCTGTACTCACATATGCTAACTCTCACAGTAAGCGGAGATTTAAATAATGGTTTGGCGAATAAGCCACAAAAACTGGATTTACCCAGACAGCCATTATCGTGAATAATACAATGACTAGTTATATAAAACAAATGAAACTAAAATCCAACAAAGCTAAGTTCAGGACAATGGGTGAAGTCAACCACAGCTTGCAGATTATACCTGTCTAATTCAAAACAATAGCCATTGATCAAATATTAGTCCTCCTCACCATCGGCATAATAAGTAGCCAAGGATTAGCAGATACATCACTTTGTTGCTCATTTCAGACAGCAAAAATCAGGTAGGATAATATAAAAACTTGGCTAGCCACAATGCATTGTAGAACTAACATTGAGTAATAATTATAAAAGATTAGAAACTACCCATTAAAAGTAGTTTTATCATGGCATCTGCTACAAACCTTTATGACCATGGTACATATGGCCACAAAATTCTAATTTATCCGAAGTCTGGGGATATTTTGTAACTTCATGTAACCTTGATGAATTCTACTGGGCACATGGAAATATTTCTAAATAAAATATTAAGAGTCAACCCATACACTCCTCTCATTCTTTACAAGATTGCTAAAAGGATTAAAGATATTCTTGAAAACAAAGGCAATATTGTATCAAAGACTTTCCTTCACAGCACACCAAGCTAATTTTTTAAATTATTATTCTAAACAAAAGGGTTTTAAAACATTAAGATCTTAAAGCAAGGGTGTCAAACTTGATTTCATTGAGGGCCTCATCAGGGTTGTGTTTGTCCTTGGGAGCTGAGTGGGTGTGGCTGGGGTGGGTATGGCCAGGTCGACATCTTTTAGCCCTCTGCCAGGGAAAATGGAGCCTGGGAGGGCTGCACATGACCCTCCCGGCCTTCGTTTTTGCTGGCAGAGGGCGGCAGGAGGCTGTTACAGCTGAAAACAGAGCCCATGAGGGCAGTGTGCGGCCCTCATGAGCTCCATTTTCACTGGCATAGGCGCTGTGGGCCAGTCCCTCACTGTTTCCAGA